CCCACTTCCAAACATCTGCGCCGCGCCAGGGGCATTAGTGACGCCGCGAGTCTCCGCCATCATGTCACCAAAGAGTCCGGTGGGGTTCGCGCGGTCATTGAAGTTCGCCTGGAGGCTGCCCGGGTTCATCTTCTCAAAGCCCACAACGAGCACGCAGTCCGCAGCGCCGTGCCCGACCATCGTCCGCGCCATGGCCAGGCCCGTAGACCCCGTGGAGCAGTTGTTGTTGACGTTATAGATAGGGATGCTGGTGAGGCCGAATTGGTAGAAGACACGCTGGCCGCAGGTAGAGTCTCCGTAGCAGTAGCACGCCACGCCCTGGTCGACGTCGTCGTAGCTGATCTGGGCGTCCAACATGGCCTTGACGCCGGCCTCGAAGCCGAGCTCGTGATAGTCGACTTTACCGCGAGGTTTGATGAACTTGGTCATGCCCACGCCGAGGACGTAGGCGGGACCGGCTTGTTTTTTGGCCATCTTTATTTGTTTGTATAGTGTTTGTATAGTGTAATTTGTTTATGTGCTGGTTACTTACAAGGGGGGGGTTTCCCTTGTTGAATGGATGAAAACAAGAACAATGAAGTTTTAAATGAAAGAGAGGTTAACTAACTAGTTAGCTGTAAGACAGCAAATAATTAACGGGGATGAAGGAAAGAAGAGAGCGGCGGGTATTTATGTACTTATGTACAGCGTATGTCTGCGGGGATATATAGCTAGCTAGCCGTCTCCCTTGTCCCCGTTACGCTGGAAGCTGTTGCTGGTTGGTTGCGGGGAGTTTGGGAGTTTGGTTGAGCCCGACGAAGTTCCCTCGGTGCCTCGGAACGGGGGTCGCAGGTTAGCGCATATGTCGCACATGAAAAACTCCTGGTCAATCACAGTGATCGTTGGAACAACTGGAACTGGGAAGTCAAAACTACTCTTGCGAGAATAGTGGGAAAGGAAGGATATCTCGAGAGTGAGACTGGGAACTGTACAAGAGAATTTTGCACTGGCTTCCTCGGTGCCCTGGTTTTTTTGATTTACAGAATTACAGGCAATATTCAATACATCAAACCCCAACACCACCAGTGATGAAGACATACATGAGGCATGCAGGGCTGCAGCCGTCCATGATCAGATCCTCAAATACTCTGACTGGTTATGATACTAAGCTAATAAACTCTCCAGTAGAGAGCAATGGCGACTAGCTATTGCCCATGCTTTCATTAAAAATGCATCACTGCTTATTCTGGACAAGCCTACAAATGATCTTGGTAATAAAGCAGCTGCCCAGATTCAACATAACATGCTATAAGGTGCACTAGAGGTCAAACAGCCATTGTGATATGATATTGTGAGTCGTCTCTATTATCAGAATTTGGCTACTCCTCCACAACTAATGTTTATTCTAGGCATGACACCAACCTTATGAAGGATGCAGACAAGATCATTGTCATTGACAGTGGTAAAGCAGTCAAGGAAGGGAATCATCAACACTTATGCGTAGGGAAGCTCATTACTACAGGCTACATATGGCAAGATGTAATTAACATCTTATCCCAAAACCATATTCACACACTGACATCTAAAGCCTGGGGACAATGCTGGTGACATGGAAATCCCTTGATGCATATAGGTCAGACCATCACATTTTCTTTAGAATGACCTTTATTTCCCAGCTGGCCATCCCTTCTTCTCAAAACTTCCAGTGCTTCCAGTGAATGGTCTCTGATTCTTGCTGCTCATTTCTGTTGTTTGCCTAAATAGTCTTTCCAAGCGCCAGGATAATTGGGTGAGGTATTCATGGAATCACCATCTCACCGTCCCCCTTTCATCTTTCGCTCCATCACGCCCCGGCGTTTGCGGCCGAGCCAGAAGGAGGGGTTCTGGCCAATCCGGCCTTAGATGGAAGGCCCCAGGACGTGGAGAAGTTAGTGAACGCCTCCCATCAGTTTAGCATATGCTTAGCTGCGTGGTCAATAACATGGTTTCTGAAGCCAGCTTTGTTCTCAATGCATAGAGTGTGCCCCAATTAGTTCCCGCAGTCATGTCGAGATTCCAGACTACCCCGTAATTGAAAAGTTCTCAAACCCAATCTTCAGCTCCGGAGCCTTTCCACCGGCGATTTGTTGAGAGATAAGTAGCCCAGCAAACACTTTGGGCGACATATCCGGTTCATAAAAAAACCATCAAGCTACCACGCTATCAAGCCAGCCGCCGATTTTCAAAGAGACGATGCGCCCCATTTCCGCAGCGCCATCACTTCTCACCCACACCTCTTCCATGTCACGAAGTATCTGATCCATATATTCCCCAGCGGCGCTAAGTGCAATAATGATAGCAATTGCACGATGAATGGCAAGTAGTTTTGCAGAAGGTGGATCAATTGTAAGGTTTGGTGAGAGAAGCAGGGTTCTTGTAACTGGAAGATTGTAGAGTTGGGAAAGCACCCGACTGGACGAATGTATTGTATAAGTATTTTGAGGGTGGTTTGACGAATCCATGGCTTCAAAAGAGATCTCGAAAAGACCAAATTGGGTATGAACACTTTTTGACAAGGTGATAGCATTGGTTGGATGATCAATACCCGACCCTTCAATCAGAGGAATGACACCTGGGTCAAACATGCTGAGAACTGACAGGGCGGTTTTCTTAGATTCGCTCTAACAGTTGAAAAGGAGTTGGTTAGAAGATGGCAACACCGCATTTCATAGTAATATTAGGTAAGGGGCAAAGGATGTGAAATATTCAGTGAAAAAGGTTCGCAAACATACCAACTGCAGCTCTCCATCAATAAACTTTGCTGACAGTATGGAATGGGGTATAATGTGCGCAACCTCGAGTTCATCAACATCGCCTCTTCCGAAACTCAGTGGCTGATCATCGTCATCCTTTGGGTTCGCATGAAGCCGATCCCTGGTCTTAGCTTCATGTAGATTGAATGCCTGTGTGACTACACATCGGTTATGGTCTCGAATTAAACAATCGCGGCGAAGAGTTGACAGTCTCGCAGGTGCTCCAACAACATTCCCAAGTGAAGGAGCTGACAATGCAGCTGGGGTTGGCTGTGGTGTCTTTGACCCTGCTGCCTTCACTACAACATGGGCCAAGTCAAGTCAACAAGAATATCACACACAAAGAACCACCAGATCGATGTGATTCACATACATGGCAGGAAAAAGTTTTGGAAAAGATATTCTGCAAATGAATCCACTACCCCTTCTACCTTTTTTTTTAGAGATGGCGAAGCAGTCTGGCCATTGAAGCCATGAAAATGTGATAGACCATGTTCAAAGGTTGGTGGTGGTCTGTTTTGGTTTGAGATATCATTATCAATAAAGATAAAGAATTGCTTTAAAAATGTATCCTTTGACTGGCAATGCTCATATGTCAGGCGCACCAGGGTGACAGTCTTGTAATGATTCTTTCTCTGCAAAGGTTCGCAATGCTCCATCAGCTGATCAAAGATGATCTCGGCATCCACTCGTTCTGAAGCAGTCAAAGATATGAGAGAAAAGTTAAGGGTTTGTTCTAGTGATGTCTGGTGGCGATGGTGAGCCGCAGGCTGGCCCTGCACACTGAGGGGTATATCATATGACATGTTTTGTTTTGCAAGGCTCTTTGAAGCGCAAGAGAGCCTTTTTTAAAGTGATTATTATTAGAAACCTTGAGGAGTAGTAGTAGTAGTAGTAGTAGTAGTAGTAGTAGTAGTAGTAGCATAACTGAGATGCATTCACTCCTGGTGGTCCAGCACCGCTATACCATCCGCCCAAATCCGAGCTTTTGGGTTAGAGAGTTGGAGAAACTCCCAATCAAAGTAGCTCCAGTGGTCCAATGGTCAGGATTCTTGCCTTCCAAGCAAGAGGTCCGTGTTCGATTCACGGCTGGTGCAAAACTAGGATTTCTTATTTTAGTCCATTTTTTTATTTTTCTTATCCATTTCTTTTTGCTTTTCAAACCGTTCTTTTGAAGAAGATTTCCAATCAATACAGCTCCAGTGGTCCAATGGTCAGGATTCTTGCCTTCCAAGCAAGAGGTCCGTGTTCGATTCACGGCTGGTGCAGAATATACAGTTTCAAAAAGACAATTCAACTGATAATTCCCACACGAATTATATCAGAAAATTCTGAACTCATTCAACTCAGTTTTTTGAGTTGAATAACTTTTTTCTGACCTGAGAACCTGTTCTTTCAGGCAACAACCAGAGACTCAAGAAATTCATGATGCAGATCAAGAAGTTATAAATATTGAATTAATAGATATGAGAGATGCAGAGGAACTTTTATTTTTTTATTTCTATATATATATATATATATATAGATAAAGAGGGGGATTCTAATACACCAAGAGATTGAAGCTACAAATATATTCATTCTTGATGAAAAGTAATGTTGTGGTGATAATGAGAAAGTCCACTCCACTTAGAGACCCTGACATGCCTCACTAACCTTGATTAGTAGACTACCGCTATAAGGGCCGTACATTCGAAGTGAACAAATACGATCGATTCCATAGAGCACATACCAAGTGGGAGCGGAAAGCTAGCACGGTGGAGATCAACCCATCAATTCGAGGCTCATGAGGGTAGTTCTCAGGATTGTGAGAAGTGTGGAAAAGTACCGGATGAACCGCTGAGAAAAGACTACATTCCTGAAGAGCCTCGCAGTAAACTACTGAGTGAAGTTCTGGCCTCCGTAATTGGCGGGGGGGACATTTGGATGGAGTAGATGGAGATCCGAATGCTCGCCGTTATAAGAAGATTCGGCGCAGCTAGAGTGCTACAGTTTGTCGATCATATTATTGCTCTGATTTTATTACTATGACTCGTTATTAGATATCTTGGCTACGAGTGGTCATTGTGGCCTTCTCACAAAACCAATAATTATGCGATCAGATATTAGCATGTTCACGCTTGACCTCGGTTTGTAAGACACAGTTTAAAGAGAGAAACAAAGAAACATCTAATATTTAGTTATGGGAGGGGTAGGCCAAGAGCTGGTAAAGGTAAGCAGGAGACAGTTCCATGCACTCTTTCCGCGTGGTTCAGTAGTCCCGATTTTGATATCAGCTTTTCCCCGCAAACTTGGCACTCACAGTGCATGTCATTTGGGAACGGCTTGATATGTTTGTTGACGAAGTGTCGGCTGAGGGACCCGGGGTTCTTGTACATTCTCAGGCGTTCGCCTTCTGGCAGTCTAGCATTACCAAGACAAATGAAGCATATCTTTGGTCTCTCTTCTGGAGATTTGACGCAAACAGAAGCGACGGCTCGAGAAAAAGTATCGTCACTCTTATCTGAAGGGGTAGACTTCTGTCTCTTAGGCAGGGGGGCAGCAGGTAGTATATCAACAGCATTGACAGGGTGTTTTTGCGACGCACCAGGCCGCGAGGGAGCACCCTCTTCCGCATCACAGACTGCAATCACTGCATTGATTGCGGCAATTCGGCGTTCGTATTCTTTCTTGACCGTCGTACCCGGCATAGTCAGGATACTGTCAATAAGTGTCATATGCTGCAACGCACCCATAACTTCTTTGTCAACAACTTTCCCGGCAAGCTGCTGCTCACTGTTGATCACTGGCTGCTCGTTCTTGTACTGCTCCAGATTCTCACGAATCAGGCGGTGCTTTTGCCGTCTCTTCTTGTTTCATAGTTGCTTCACTGAGCGATCATACTGCTCATCTGCATGATCAAATTTCTGATGTAACTTTTTCACACTTTTCTCTTGAGACTCCCTCCGCTTGCGGACGGTTCTGGAAAGAGAGGCGCTCTGTGGATTATCACCCAACTCTTGTTGTAATGCGGCCTGGGCATTTTCATAGGTGCGCATCTTAATGTCTTGAATCCGCTTTTTCGCTTGCTTCCTGTCTTCCAGGGCACACACGCGGGGAATATCATTGATGCAGCTCGAATCCTCAAGCCGGTAGGGTCTGCGAGGGTCAATGGACCGACTCATCGAGCAGGCAAACTGGATGAGCTGTTTCTCAGCGGGCAAGCCCCGGACAATTGCCTGAGCATCTACGTGGATACCCACACTGTAGTGCCGGACAAAAGTATCAATGCTGGCGTGCTGCAGCATCACGTTCTGCAATTCATTCAATACATCCGCTAGTTGAGAGGAATGTATTAGCCAAAAATTCTATAATCGCAATGGGTCACTCACGACTATCGTTGAACGCTTTTGCTGCACCGTATCGAAGACAATATGGCTTCGCGGCTTCCGCAAAGCCCGTAATCTCACCACCTCATTTCATTCTGTAACTCAACCATCCCCTAGAAAGTTCCTCTTCCGGTGCGATTCAAATCCCATCAGCCTCTCGCAGTGCCTGGCAGAACACATGCTGATCGAGAAGTTCGTCCTTGAGCTTCAGTTCCTGCTCACCAAGGCCATGTAGGACCCGAAGGCTATACAATTTCTCGGGACAATCCGTCACAGGGCCGTCTTTGGACAGACTTTTAAATGCGCCAATTCTAAACAGCATGCCCAGCAGGAAAACATGAGGACTGAGGACCAACGTGGGATCAAAGATAATTTCTGGAATCGGGAACGTGTCTCTGATTGAAAATGATAAGTAAAAGAGCGCTGAGAGGCATGTGGCTGAAGGAGGCAGAAGGAAAGACTTTAGTGAGGGGGTGTTCTTACGACTCTTTTTCGCCAAGAAATGATTTTGTGAATTCCGGTCTCAGGTAGATGAAAAGTCGAGGACGCCCTCCCTTCGGATCCCGAATTAATGTCAACTTGAGATCCACGAAGCGAAGTTTCAGTAGCGCCCCGGGACGGCTACCGGTGATAGCGGCCAGCTGGCAGAAAAGGAGGAGTTGTATACGGTACCAGCCACAAAGGAAAGTCATCTCTGTCGTGGTCAGGATCACTCGGGCAAACTCAGCCACATCCTCGATAAACATGGTCGCTTTCGGTCGCTTTTTGAGGGAAAGATTCTTCTCCGTCGCAACTATCGCGTGCACCTATGGGACGTTATTCGCGTACAATCCATGGCGATATCGATACCCAATCGGGATCTTACATCACGGATCTTAACTTGAATATCTTTGCTGAGGCCATGTCCAACCTCGGCCTTGTAGATTAGATGCCACCACTTCCAGAATGCGTCGAGTGAGCTTTTGGTTTTCAGTCCCGGGGTACGACGTCCATCCTTCCCCCGTCGTTGGTCACACCGCCAGGAAAAGAGAGCCTTAAGGAAGCGGACTGTCTCCTCAGTCTCAGAGAGACAGGGCAGACATTCCACCGGATCGCGCTTTGCGCCTTTACAGAACCTAGAACAATCAGCGACCCAAGTCCTGTATGCGGGGATGCTGCAGTGATGTCCCACCTATCCCAGAAATCTTGCGCCTCATCCAACCTCTCTTGAGTTTTCGGGCTATAGCGTTTCTGTCGGAGCTGGGAGACATCCAGAGACTCGGCCTCCTGGAGGTAGTATTCTGGTGAAAGTTGTTCCTCTTCATCTTCCAGTGCCAGTTCATCTTCGGACTCGTCGTCTGACTCGGACTCGGGTTCGCTGCTATAGTCAAAGTCGCTAGGTGCGGTGGAGGAATCAGAGTCGGAGGCGTTGTTCAAGAAGATCTTGGGCAGGCCTGAGCTAGTGTCACTCTCATCGTCGGAGAGAACAGGACACGGAGAAGCAGGGCATGGCGGCGGAACGCAGTGAGCGATCGAAGAGGAGGCAGGAGGGGCAAGGAGGAGACGAAGCACGAGAGAATGATCGAGGTTGATATTATTTCACTTGGAGCAAGTCACCCGTTGGAAACGCAGACCTGGGCCTGGAGGAGTTGCTGGAGAGCGAGGGAGGACTGTCGGTCGGGAGCCATGGTGGTCGATATTTATGGGAACTCAGGGAAGCAGAACGGTCAACAGGGGAGACAAAAATGGCTCCCCTCCCCCAGGAGGTTTGACTGAGGGGTTGAACGAGGAGGATGGCATGCGGCATGAATGGAACATGGAACATCGGCGGTCGATCAATAATCCGATGGGGGGTTGTTGGGCTTTGACACACGTGATGCCAAGACGGCCTCGGTGAGCGAGCGGCCTAAAAACGGCGTCAAAAGCGGCTGTTTCTGGCCTCCCATTCACCGTGTCATGCATATATCTAGTTATTTTATTCTAATAATTAAGAGTGTACTCCGTATAGGTTAATATAATTGTAATATAGAATACAAGCATCAAACGCTTAATCTTCACATTATACTTTGATGCATTTTTTGTGTGAGAAAGAACTTTTGAGATGAACCTTCATAGTTTGATTGTCAAAAGTTGCATATCGCAGCCTGATGTTTGACAAGATTCAACATTAACCTTAGACAGTCAAAGCAGTGAGGAGAGCAGCTTCAACAAGAAGTGCATTTCTTTCCATACACCCTTTTACAAATGAAGCTATACCAGCCACAGAGACATAGAATAGAAAATAAATCATGGCATCGTAAGTGCCCGCGCTCGATTGAGGTCCCCTCTCCGCTACCCTCTCTACCCCCCTCTACTCCCTCCTCCTCCTCCTCTAAACACTCTAAACACCAGCTAACAAAAAAAAAATATATATATACAGAAACATCCTCCCCCTCCCTCTTCGCCGCAGCCACCCCATCTCCCTCTCCACCGCCATAAAGCAATACATCTCGAACAAATATGACCAGCGGCCCGAGATGTTTGCTGAGGACCTCCTGATCATCGATAGGCTACGGACGGATGCGATTAACGTCCAAGAACCGCATATTAGTGGCATCAGTCGGCTGGTGACATATGCGGCGCAGTTGAAGTGGTTGGGGGGGAAGTTTCCGATTGATGTATGTGTTTTGTTTGTATTTCTAGTGATTGTGGAGTTGTCCCTGGGCTCAGGGGGTTGGGGGAGTCGACGTTTTACTGATATGATTGAATTGATGCGCGACGTGTAGGTCGGCGTGGATTTTTCGTGGTATCCGGCTCTTGGATTTAATACGTCGAGGCCGAGTGAGTTATTCGTATTTTTTTCTTCTTCTTAACGCTTTTGCGTCTGCTCCTGTTAAATACTAAAACGTAATTGAGCATTCATAGTCTCCCAGAACAACCTCCGCTTCGAGCTCGCCAACATCCTTTTCAACCTCGCCGCCCTCTACTCCCAACTCGCCGTCTCCCTAAACAGCACAACCCCGGAAAACCTAAAAACAGCCTGTAAATACCTCTGCAACGCTGCCGGCGTCCTCGTCCACCTACGCACAGACATCCTGCCTGACCTCCGCTCCTCCCCACCAGAAGACATGGACGAGATGACCCTGCGCAGCCTCGAAGAGCTCCTTCTCGCGCAGGCGCAGGAATGCTTCTGGCAAAAGGCCGTCAAGGACGGGCTGAAAGATGCCTCCATAGCCCGCCTTGCGGCGAAGGTGTCAGACCTCTACGCGAACGCCGGCGACTACGGCATCAAATCCGACACCATCAACACCGAGTGGATCCACCACATGACAGCCAAGCACCATCATTTCGCCGCGGCGGCGCAATATCGGCAGTCGCGCGACTGTCTGGAGAAGCAGAAGTATGGCGAGGAGATTGCGCGCCTGCGCGATAGCGCGATGTGTGTGAACGAGGCGTTGAAGGGGGCCAAGTGGATTAACCGGGTGGTGCTGGGGGACCTGAACGGGCTGAAGGCGCGTGTGACGGAGGATTTGAAGCGGGCGGAACGCGATAATGATATGATCTATTTGTTTCCAGTGCCGCCCAAGTCGGAGCTGAAGCTGCTGGATCGCGCGAGTATGGTTGCTGCGAAGGCGCCGGTGGAGGTGACGGATGCGCTCTCGATGATTGGGGAAGGGCTGCCGTTGGGGAGGCCCTTGTTTGCTAAGTTGGTGCCGTATGCGGTGCATGTTGCGGCGAGTATTTACGCGGAGAGGAGAGATAGGCTTGTGCAGCAGGAGATTACGGGCGGAGTGGAGGAAATGACCGCTAAGCTTAGGGGGTATGTCATAATAATACTAATACGGACGTATCGTATAGTGATGTTCCATTGGCTAACTAATATCGATGTAGGCTGCTTCAATCCCTCAATCTCCCGGGCTCACTACAGGCTCTTGAAAAACCCCTAGGTCTTCCACCATCACTACTATCCCACGCTGAAGAGGTACGCCAACAGGACGGCCTAAACCGGCTCCGGCTCTCTCTGAAGGACATCGCAAAACTCAAAGAAAACGACAAGACCATATACACCGAGGGCGTCGAACTGCTCATGGCCGAACGGGACGAAGACGACCGCGCCCGCGCCAAATACGGCACGGATCGATGGACGCGCGAGCCGTCCGAAGTCGCCGGCAAGAAACTATACACGCAGGCAAAGGATATCGAGGGCTACCTGGCGTCTGCGGCGAACAGTGACAAGCTCGTTGAGGAGAAGTTGCGGGAGACGGAGAAGGTGTTGCGGCTCCTCACGGGGACGAATCGGGATATCGAGGCGTTTGTGCCGAGTAGTCGCAAGGCGACTATCACCGAGGCGGTTGAGAGGGAGGCCGGGAGGTTGAGGGGGTGTTTGAATGAGGTGAGCAGGTTGGAGAGTCGGAGGAGGAGGAGGGTTGAGGCGCTGAGGGAGAAGGCGAGGGGGGATAGTATTCGTATGTGATTTTCCCCCCTTTCCTCCTGTTATTTTTATTTTGAGGTTATACCTCCATTTCGCTAACTGCTATAATAGACGCCGCCCTCCTCAAAGAAACAGGCCGTCTTGAACGTGAGTTTCCCATGCAGCGCATCGAAGCCAGCCAGTTCGAAGACCTCTTTGCAGAGCGTCTGAAACAATATGATGAGGATCGCAAGTTGCTCCTGGAAGAGGAAGAGAAAGCCCAATCGGCGATAGCGGAGCAGTTGCGCGAGGCGAATCGGGCCTTCGTAAATGCGCGCCGGGGCGATTCGTCGACGAAAGAACGCGAGAAGGCGTTGCAGGAGTTGGAGAATGGGTATGTGCGGTATAAGGAGATTATTGGAAATGTGGAGGTTGGGCGGAAGTTTTATAACGATTTGGCGAAGTTGGTGGGGCGGTTTCGGGAGGATTGTAGGGGATTTGTTAGTGGAAGGAGGGTGGAGGCTGGGGAGTTGGAGACGTGAGTTGTTCTTCACCTTTTGTCCTCTTTTTTTCGTTTTCAATTCTTTTCGCTTTCTGGGTGCTTTATTGGTATGTGAAGTGACTAACAAAGGCGATGAAATAGGGACATTACGAATACCACTGCAATGGCTTCGCTGAGCATTTCACAGAAGCAGAAACAACATCCATTCTCTCCACAAGCCGCACCTACAACTTCACCCCCAGCAGCCATAGCAGCAGCAAATACAGCCATCCAACATGAGCAGCAGCAAAAGCAGCAGCACCAGCACCACCAATCCCCACCGTTCCACCACCACCGTCAACCCATTCAAACCCCTCGCCAAAAATCGCCGCTGAAATCCACCCGCTCCTGGACACCAAGCCACACCCCCTTTACCCCATCAACCACCACCTCCTCCTCCCCTTCATCACAACAACCAGCAGCACCAGCACCATCACCAGCACCACAACCACAACCACAACCCCCAGAAAGCCCCCTCGCCGCCCCACAACCAACCCGCACCTCCATAATCCCACCACCAAGCACCATGCCCGTGGGAGGCATGTGGTCACCGGAGATGGGGATCAAGTTTGGACCGCCGGCGTCACATGCGCAGATGAATGTGCCGGGGCAGGCGGAGGAGGGGCAGCAGATGCAGATGCCGATGCCTGGGAGGTGGGATGCGAGTCTGGGGGTTAGGTTTTCGTAGGGGTGTTTTGTTTTGTTTTGTGGGATTTTATGGATGGGGCCCCGTATGTTATATGAGGCATGGGTGGGGGGGGGGTGTTTCTTTGATTGAAATCTTTAGCGGGTTTTCCATTTTTACGTAGTGATGTTTATGTTTCATTTTTTCATAGTTTGTATAGCGATTTAGACCGGAAACCCCTCTTGCATTCTGTTCTATATAAGCGGGAAGGGTAGTTAACTATTTTATTTCTTTCCCCCCTCCCTTTTTTTTTTCCTTATAAATAAACCTTTTTCCATTCCACACTTGCGGGAACCCAAGCATAGAAGGGTCAAAGTCAAGATGATTAAAATCTAAACTATACACAAACATTGATTGACCTGGAGATAATTAATCAATCATATGACATCTAAATTATCCTGAGCAATGAATGACATTCCGGTTTCCACTCACTTTAGGCCAGAGACGGAGTAGCTTGAGAAAATGACCAGTGTAATCAAATCATGAAAATCTGCTGTTTGGGAAAAGGGGGCCTAGCTGGCGGCCTTCTCGCCCAAACTACAGACATGAAGCCTCAGGGGGCAGTGATACTATGGGTTTTGACGGGATCTAGCTATATCTATATACCCTCTCCTTTTAAGAGAAAGTGAAACTTATAGATGTGTGTGTGTGTGTGTGTGTATAATTCCATTTCAAGGAACTGACTGGCCCCTAGGAAAATGATGATGAGGAAAAAACAGAATCTAAAACCAGGTAAGACAGTTTTAAAATCAAAAGAGAGACCGCAAGAATATAATATATACATAAATAACAGAGAAACCCAACGCGCATCCTCGAAAATGAGAATGTGGAAAGCGAATGAATATATGTATAATGAAGAGATAACTGTATATATATATGTATGAGAAACAAAGGAGAAATACAAGAACAAGAACAAGAACAAGAATAACATGACAAAACTAAGACAAAATACCTCCCATCCCTCATGTATATATAGAACAAAACATCCCTCCCGTGACCTGTGAAAGACACACCACCCCGCCCATAGATAACAAAAAATAATATATTTCAAGAAAAAAACATATTCCCTCTTTCAAACCAAGAATAGAACCATGTCAAATATTAAATCATCTACGGATGCATATATATATATATATGCGACACAACAATAGGACATAGGCACTCCCCCCCCGCCCCCGCCCCCACTCTCTCTTTCTCATACCCGGGAACGTCTTCCCTTCCTCACTTCGGAGAGAGGTGGAGGAGGGAAGTCTCGATCCCAGATATTTTGACCGGCGTCTCGATGGACGAATAGATGAATCCAACGGAATTCTCACTCTCTCCCTCTTTATTTCTTCATCTTCTTCCTTATTCTTTTAAAATATTCCACGCGGTACTAGGGGAAAGGGGCTGGTGGGTGGTGGGTGGCGGAGAGCCGGTGCTTGGCATATCGGCAATATATAGAGTAGACTTGGTTGCTAAGAGGAAAATATGGCAGGTAATCAAAAAAGGAATCTTCAAGCGGAATGCGCGCGTCCCAAAACGCCCCAAAAGGAAGTGGTAGAGAAGGCAGAAAGTGACTGGAGCACTTATAAATTGCGTTAAAACGTGACAGGACGTGGCATGACATGACACATTCCAAGGCGGCCGTGAACGCATTGATGGTTGACGGCAAGCGTTTGCTGTGCGTGTCGAGTTTTTAGCAAGACCGTAAACAAAACGAAGATTTTAAAACTTTTCGTCACTTCTATTACTACGCCGCTCTCGTCTCAACATTGCCTGATGGTTTTTGTTGTTCTTGCTGATGCGCCGCCTCGGTGCTGGCGCGGTACTTATCGAACATGCCTGCAATATCACCATCGCCAAGGGCACCGCCATTCTTTTCCGTGATGAGATTCTTCAGCCACCGGTTCTCCATCTCGAGCTGGGTGATGCGCGCTTCAAGCGCCGCGTTCTTGGCCGTGACGTCCTTGACGGTGCGTTCCATGTTCTTTTCGCGTTCCTTTTTCTTGATGCGAAAGCGGGCGCTGGCGGCTGTGTTGCGGCGTCGTTTATCTTCTTCCTGTGCGAGACGTGCGGCTTCATCAATGCTTTGGCTTCCGGGTGTCATAGCGTCTTGTTTCCGTTTGGTGCCTTGATTCATATGTGTCGATGTTGCTGTGGACGGGGATGGTGAAGGGTTTGATGGAGACATCGCCGGGGCGGGCTGCGATGTGATCAAACGATCGAGGTTGCCGTGGGGTAACGGAGTTCCATTGTGATTGGAGCCTTGTGGTTGAGATGGATAGGCAGGTGTCTGCAGGGGCAGCATTGGCGAAGGATAACCAGTCGTGTAGTTGGGGAGGTTGAAGTCTGGATCATTCTCATTAGCCTGCCTGTCAAACCAGGTGGTTACGAAAGCGCATCCATCCAATTCACTCCCCCCGCAACAGCAGAACAAGCAAAAAAAGCGGGGAGAGTCCAGGGAAGTTCCTATTTCAAACTACAAGACTCTCTCAAGCAATCCACCATTGGATAGATGGATGATGGAACAACCAGACGCAGCTGTCACGTGGCAGTGTGTGCTGTGTGAGCGCCAGCATGTGCTTCCCGCGTCTTGCAGCGGGTAGAAGCCATAAAAGGAGCTTAGGCTTCCACACCATGCGCTGATCGCGCGCAGCAAGGATAGAAACTAGGTATGAGAGCAGCCAGACTAGGGGTTGTGGAGGAGAAGAAGAGCAGGGCTGTGTGGGGTGCCATCCGTGTGATAGGGCAGAGCTAGCGGCAACGGGGAGAAGTGGAAAAGCATTGCAAAATCGCCCAGTCGTGCATCGAATACCCCAGAGGAATAGCCGTGGATAGGCTGAGACTATCAAAATGGGGAAAAAATACACAGCAAGTGTATTTACCATTGATGACTCAAAAGTGCTGGGCGAGGGAATATATCGGAGGTCTGCAAAAAACCGCGAAAAAGAAAAGAAAAGATGATAACGACGTAGTAGACAAAATAACTCACCATTAAGCATATCAATGTATTTTACACTTTTCCCATCACCTGAAACCGTTGTCGATGAGTCCTTATTACTCCGCATATCGGTTCCTTCACCGTCAAACTTCACGGGCATGTCCACTGGCAGATCGCCTACGGGATCGAAGTCGAGGAATTCTGCATTCGTGAACAGGGCCAATTCCGCATCGACGTCGAATAGAGCCTGCTGCTCCTGTTCCTGCTGTGCCAGGTCATACGGAGATGGAATGGTATTGAGGTCGTTTAGGTATTGCGAGAAATTAGGCGCCCGCCGCCCGTTATAGCCTGACATGACTCTCTTCTGGTGACAGATCGAGCCCCCCAGAAATATGAACTCCCCCTGCAACGAAAGAGTGGCTTCTGTTTACACTTCTTGTTTTCTGAGTTTCCCCAATAATATCTTAACACGCTCTGTATATATGCGTTGTACGGATTGCTCTGGGGCGTTGAACGGAGATGGGGAAATAACTGGATTGGATAGCGTCGTGGTTCGAGAGCCGACTGGGGAAGGTTGGCTGGCGGTATCCGGCGATATATTGCGATATACTGCGGGGGTTGGGTTGGATGAAGGGCGTGGTTATTTGGCGAGAGAGAGAGTACGAGAGGGAAACAGGTGAGATAAGTGGGCGGGTAAGTGGTTTTGGGAGGCGTGGGCTTTTGTGTGACAGCCGAGAGGTCGGGTTCAGACGCCGCCAAAGTTCCGGCGTGGGGTGGATGAAGCCAGACTCGGCGCTATCTTTGTCATCACACTGCGTGGGATGTTTCCTTCCTCTCTGCAGGAATTAGAAAAGTCGGTAAGCCCCCCGATCTCGTTATGTAAGTACGGAGGGCGCTATCAAAAGAATTGCACTGGCAAAAAGACAGCTAGACAGTGTCACAAATCTTGGCAGAAATTCACACTGTAATTTATACTGAATATGATTATTCATTGTCTTCACTGCTATCTTTTTAATGTGTAATCTGCCTGCCAATCTCACCTCACAGGCAGATGAGTATTCTATTTCTTCATCTGCTCATGCTGTCTTTCTTCTCTATATTCATTATCATTTTCTAACTCTATAATCTTTATTAATCATGTTAAATTTTTGTAAGAATAGTATGTTTAATGCTACTACTTCTCTGAGTTATTCAGTTAGATTTAAGAGCATCTCTAAGTCATTTATTATGAAGTATAATATGTGATAGTTCAGGATTAAATCCATGTTCAATTGCATGTTTATATATACAGTTGATTTGACTCTTTAAGATCTGAGTGATTTTCATGATTTCAGCATTTAACTTGTTAAAATAGAGTGATTTAAGAGTCACTATAAGAGCTCTTATAGTCAGACAATCTTATATAAATAGAATACAGAGTGATTAGAAGCTAAATATAATTACTTATTAAAACATAGTAGTATTTCTTAGCTATATTAATTAAATCTGAGTAGTGTAATTCTTTTGATAGTATTCTTTATAGAGTAGATCTTATAAGACTCTATATTAACATCAGACAGACCTTGCTAGCTTAAAATACTGTGACAGATTGTAACAGTCTGATAGATAAGTAGAATTGATTTGCAATTGATAATTTATTAAATAAATTATAATAGTATAACTTTTTAAATTAAACTGTATTAATATAAAAGTATTAATAACTTTTATCAATTGTAAGAGATTCACACTAAATAAATCAGTATTAAGATATAGATCTTATATAATAAAAGTAAAAAATATTAGAGAAGAAAAAAAGAGAAAGTATAAGAATCAGTTATTATTATTATTATTATTCTTCAATTATAGATGTATACAGTCAGAGACTATAATATTTACCTGAAAACTTTTAATTCTTAGAGCTTTTCTAATATCTATAAAGTTAACTATTATATATTTATCAATTTCAGATATACAAAATCAGAAAATTTCAGCTCAGAATATAAAAACTCTTTATAAATTACAGTATTTTAGCATCTTCTAATACTTTGAAATTATTTAGAAATATCATGACAAAAGAAAAGAGAACAGAGTCTTAAAGAGAGATATATTAAATAATATAACAGACTGTGTCTGATTATTATATAGACTATTTCCTTACACTTCATAGATTCCGCTGAAAGCTCCGATTCTCAGTCATTCTCAATCATCAATTCTCAGCTGAAAAACTCACAGAATTTCTATTCTTCTGTCTCAAAGCTTCATCATGTACACACTGTATATATGTATAAATATTCACTTTAATCACTGATTTTCATACTTTCTCTTTCTTTTTCTTCTTTAATATTTTTCACTTTGTTATATAAGACTTATTAATATTATACTGATCTATTCAGCATAGGCCTCTTACACTTAAAAAATGTTCTTTATCTTCTTATTAGAAATGATTGCTCACTGAGATATTCAAATATATAACAATATATAAGAAATAGAGAAACAGTTAAATAGTTAAATAGACACTGAGTTCTCAGATAGAAGCTTGCTTATCAGTCACTCTGACTCTGTAACAAGATCTTATGAAGAGAGTAAGATCTTATAAAGAGAATATCAGTGAAAAATCTAAGAGTTTTAATATCTCAGATGTATGAGATATTTATATAATTATACTTTTTCAGATTTCACAGATATCATATATCTGATAAATGATATAATCATGTCTAATAATAATATAAGAGAACTTTTAAATACAAATATAGAAGTGATATCATAGTAGCTCTAAGTAATATTGAAATTACAACAGCAATAGATAGCTGATATGCATGTAACTCAACAAGTTCAATATAAGAAAATTCAATAATTAACTTAATAAGAAACTTATGCAATTTCAACATCTGCAGAATTAAATATAAAAGCATTGAAAGAATACTTAGATACTTCTATACATTTTAATATCTTCAATCTCACTCTCTACTTATTATGAGGAATGAAAATACTTACAAAACTGAGTGTAAATGAAGATATTATCAGTTCATTAATCAATCAAGATTGATATATCAATGAATGATTAAAGAATCATATAAAACAGAAGTTTTATTCATAAATAAAAGCATATGAATTAGTGTTGCAAACATCTAATAATATTATTAAATATCTTGATATTCTGTTCTAAGACACTGCTATGTAATAGAAAGTGTTAGATTGATTACAAAGTATCTGACAGAGAAACACTTCTCTTACAACATTCATTTCTGACTTTGATATCAAGATTCTAGAAGTAGATGATCAATCTTGAGAGAATTGAATGAAGATTAGTATGCTTAAGAAGATATTAACTTTCAAACTCTTACAGACTCTTGTAAGTGTAGACAAAGACTAGACTTATGAAGGTTTTTATATACAACTTCAGATATTGAATGACTGTCTTATCAAGCTCAAGAGTATACAGAACAGTGACAGAGAACATTATACTTATACACTTACACTGAAGAATAATAATAATGCAGATGTCATGAATTGAGTAGACTTGAATATCTATACATAAGTAAGAGTCTTTACTATCTAAACAGGCTTCTGAGTTTCTGAGATCACTTTTGAAGAAGTTGCTGATTAATATTAATGAGAAGTATGTATCAACTGTAACTGATCAGAACATATTACTTTCAACTATCAATCAGCTTATATATTCTCTTACTTGAAGAATGAATCAGTATCTGTCTACATCAATCACATTGCAGTGAAGAAAAATTTAGAAGATAATTATGAAAATACTCTGATAAAACAGAGAAAAGATTAGCTTCTGTTCAAATTCACAAACAGAAGCTTGAAGAGATTGAATGATAATAATTTAAAAAGAAAATAATAATAAACACAATTCTTGTATCTACTGTGATCAATAATGTGTATAATATGAAAGTTATGATAGATAGTGATCTATGTTATTATACAATGATGTAACAATAAGTACTCGCAGGCGATTATTCAGATGTTTGCAGCTTGGCATGATATATACTGTTAACTACTAGAAGTATTCATAGTAGAAAGATAAAATGTAGAGATTAAATGTATAATAGTATTCAAGCTGAGTTGTGAATAGTATTTGTGAACTTCAGTCTATATAGTTATATGTAGTCAAGAGCTGCTAGCTCTATTAACTATATAAGAGATAAAAATAGAGATAAAGAATCTGTGAGAAGTGAGATTTCTTACATATCTCTTCCTCTCTAAGACTTTGTCTGTGAAGTCTTTCACTGAGTGACTTTATAGAATCAGCTCAGCACTGCAGTGATACTTACTATAAACTCTTCATATCTATAAAAAATCTCAGTAAGAAAAAATTTCTTATTATTATAAAGAGAAAAGAGTCTGTTACTCAGTTTCTTATTCTGTGAGATTCTTTATATTCTATAGATTCTTCTCTGACTATTATACAGATTTATTTCACATCTTTTATACAGAAGAGTTTCAGTTGACTCTCAATCATTTTCATAAGATTCTTATGTGATTATTATATAGATTTATCTCATAGATGAATCACTCTCTGTGAGATCACTCTCATTAAAGAGAAGTATTTACAAGTTAATCTTTCACTTATTCTCATGAATCATTGTTCTTTGACACTGTAGAATTGTGAGAAATTTTCCATTCTTTCACCAACTCTGTAGAATTGTAGAATTAAGATATCCGCGGCCTGCAATCACTCTTTGTGCAAGCAAACCTCTCTAGAGGTATAAATACCTCAGATCTGTTCACAGAATTTTATCTTCTTTTTTCTTTTTCTGTAACAGCTCTCATTCTCACAAACTATGAGTATTCTCATTCATTTATGAAGTGTTTTCACTCAGATGACAGAGAGAGAGTGTTTCTGACAATATTTATATATTGATTCAAGAACTTCTCAAGAATAAAAATTTTTTCAATTTCAATATCTTTATAAACAATATCTGACTGCTGCTGAGCTTCTTATAAGCATCTCTGTAACTTCTCTGATCACTTTTTATTAGCTAATGAAGTAGAAACACTGTTACTCATAACTATATCTTTATTTCTCTCAGTCTTATCATCACATCTGATCTTCAGGTCAGCAGTTAATCTCATATCTTTCTCAGATCAGTCTCTGACTCTAAGTAGTATAGTTCTTCTCTTTACTGTAAGTCTTCTTATAAGTAATTTCTTATAGATTCTAGCTGACAGTTCTTATGAAGCTTCTGATATTATCAGTATCTTCTACAGCTTTACAGATTTACAATCATCTTCTCTCTATCTACACAATCTCTGATCAGACATATGTAAATATATCTAGATTTTCTATCAATGATTCTCACACTGCAGCGCATTTTCATAATCTCATTATTAATGAGAGATAAGTTCTCAGATATCTATAAAATTCAGATAATTAAGATAATGTGAATACTATGAATTTATAATAGAAGTTGATCTGAATAGATGAGCTCTCTCTTTATATCTTAATTATTTTCAGACTGAATACTTCAACACAACTGAGAAAGCAGACACAGCTTTATAAGAAGTATCTGATTATATATATAAATAGTCAGTTCTCAAGATTCTGCTATAACTGTATATACTCTGATATTCAGCTTCTCTGAAGTCTGTACATTTCTGACAGTCTTTATATTAAATGCAACAATTATCTGTATTATAGATATAATACTCTCTGCTTCTTTGAAGAGAGAAATTAATTATTATTATTATTATTATTCTTTCATTATACTCATATACAAGCGGAGCTTATGATGAGTCCTTGCGTGATGTTAAATACAGGCCAAGTGTTGATTATACAGAAGGAAATACAGGTGTTGAGACCACATCAAGATAACAAGAACATAGGAAATACAAAGAAGTGACAATTAGATACATGCGATAATAACTTCCCAGCCCAGGAACATAGAGCGATTTTATTGGAGCGATTTGTACACCTCTGTATTTATTAGGAACCTGAGATGCTTGAGTTCCGGATTTAATGTATCCCCTGCGGGTTTCGAACCCACGCGCCTTGGTTTCCCACGCCAAGGTGCTACCAGGTGGCCGCATTAACCATTCGGCCACCGGGGCGAGAGAAATTGATAGTTATGAGAAGATTGAGTGTCATGAGTATTGAGAATGTGAATGTGAGTTTTCTTTGTTTTTTCTTTATTAGTCTCTAAATTGTGTTCACAGTTCTGTTTGTTTTCTTGTTTTTTAACTTTAATAAGAGTATGATTTCTTCTTCTCTTATATACACTGCAGACTGTTCATCTCAGTAGAAATTCATTATCTTATAGACTAGAGCTTACAAATGACAGTGTTAATGTCTTTATTATAATCAGATTCTTAGTGAAGACTGTGTCATTCTGACTTATCAGAATTCACAGTATGAAAGTCATGTCTTCAAGCAGACAAGTCAACCGCTCCACCACGAACTCGCTCGATTTTTCGAATAAGAACCCGCCGATAGATCCATCGAAAAGCCCTTGATCATACGAGCATTCTGACCCCATCGCCGACCGCATACCCTGTGTGGTGGTGGAGTTATCCAGCCAAATGTGAACCGGACGTTGTTCGAAACTCCTGTGTGGGATTATCCCCCATTCTCCCCTACCACACCACAACCCCGGGCCAAAGTGCCATACAAATTGTAAGGTGAAGAGACCTAGCCATATGCACCAATCTTCTCGATTTTGGAAGATCCCCGATCTGTAGTTGTGGAGATATCCGAGAAGCGATCTCCGCGAAAACCCTGTCCATCTTTGATGTTCCAAAACACCAATGCCAAGTCTCACCCTCGTACCGCCCTTCCCAATCTGGCCCACCCCCGGCAGAAAAATACAAAAAGATACCTCAGCGATAATATCAAGCACATAATCAACAGACTCTTCTGAAGTGCAACCTTCACAGTCTGTCATCAGTGTATCTAGACTTTGACACCAAGTCTCACCCTTGTACTACCCCTCTCAATCTGGCTCATCTCTGACAGAATAATACAAAAAGATACCTCAGTAACAGCATTTAATACATAATCAGCAGACAATGAGTCAACAGCATATCAACAACTATAAAATCAGTATATCTCAAGATCTGACTGAGCCTTTGATCCCTGCACAGTGAGATATATTAAATCTAGCTTTAATATCTCAATATTCAATAGATTCTGCAAGGGATTGAGAACAGCAACACTAGATTTCTATTGAATTTGAGAATTAACTCTATATTGATATAATCATTAACAAAGTCTTCTATTTTGAGATATAAATAACCAGTTCCTCTACATCTCACTGACAATATTTATATTATTATATAGAAACAGACTTATATTCTCTATAATATCAAGACTCTGAAGAGAGAAAGTCTTGATAGAAGATATATAGTAGTGTATATCTTAGCAGTTTCTATCTCATTCTTCTGCAGCAGTTAATGCAAAAAAAAGATCTTAGAAATAGTTTTTTACTTCTCTTGAAAAAGTAAGGTGTTTTTCTCTGAGTTTTATATAATATTCTTACAAAGAATAAAAAACAGAGCTGTTTTCTGTTATAATTTCATATTCTTTTAAGTAAGAATTACTTTTCCAGTGACTGAAGAGCTTTTATTAATACTTAATTCTTTTTTACACTCTTTATTAACTGATTTGAGTTGCACACTTGTTGTGTGAGAAGAATTGAATGATTTAGAATAAAATTGAATAGTTTTAATCAATTTCTCTGCAAAAAATTGATTTATTTTTTGTCAGTTTTTCTCTTAAAAACTGTTATATTATCTGATTCATTATCAATTAATATCATACTCTTTCTCACTGTATCTCAAGAAAGAGATTGTAAAGATTTTATTGATTTATCTCAAAAATCAATTTAAGTTTATTAGATTCTCTTCAAAAATCTAATCTAGTTACTGAACTAGTGTAAAAAAAATCAGGTGTTTTATACATAAAAGTCTTTTATTCTTCTTTTGAAACAGTCTGACCAACTTTTCAATTGAAAACAGACTTAGAAATATCTCAATTGAAACAGTCTGATCAACTTTTCATTGAGTTGTGATTCGGAAGAACGTACGACCGTCGGATAATAACGCGGCCGCTTCCGAACTACTAGCGTACGTGTACAAGTGTAAAGGGGCCATAGCGGCTGCTAATTAAATTAGTGTATAATATTATAATATATAAGAAGTCAGTGTACATCTGTAATATAAGAATAAGTGCTTGCAGGCGATTATTCGGGTGTTTGCAGCTTGGCATGATATGTACTGTTAACTATTAGAAGTGTTCACAGTAGAAAGATAAATGTAGAGATCAAATGTATAATAGCATTCAAGCTGAGTTATAAATAGTATTCACAAACTTCAGTCTATATAATTATGTGTAGTCAAGAGCTGCTAGCCCTATTAGTTATGTAAGAGATAGAAATAGAGATAAAGAATTCACAAGAAGTGAGATTTCTTATATACTCTTCTCTCTCTAAGACTTTGTCTGTGAAGCCTTTCACTGAGTGACTTCATAGTCAGCTCAGCACTGCAGTGATACTCACTAAAAACTCTTCATATCTATAAAAAATCTCAGTGAGGAAAAATCTCTTATTATTATAAAGAGAAAAGAGTCTGTCACTCAGTTTCTTATTTTATAAGATTCTTTATAATCTACAGATTCTTCTCTGACTATCACACAGATTCATCTTATATCTTTTATATAGAAGAGTTTCAGTTGACTCTCAACTATTTTCATAAGATTCTTGTATAATCATTACACAGATTCATCTCACAGATGAATCACTCTCTGTGAGATTATTCTCATTAAAGAGAAATATTCACAAGTTAATCTTTTATTCATTCTTATAAATTATTGCTCTTTGACACTGTAAAATTGTGAGGAATTTTTCATTCTTTTATCAACTCTGTAGAATTGTAGAATCAAGATATTCACAGTCTGCAATCACTCTTTATAGTTATATAGAAAGATTCAGATCTGTGATTTATAATTACTCTTATTTACTAAAGTGATCTGACTGTTCTACAGAATCACTTATAGTGTAAGCAAACCTCTCTAGAGTAGTATAAATATCTCAGATCTGTCTGCAGAATCTCATCTTCTTTTTTCTTTTTCTATAATAGCTTTTATTTTTATAAACTGTGAGTATTCTCATTCATCTGTGAAGTATTTTCACTCAGATGACAGAGAGAGAGTGTTTCTAACAATATTTATATATTGATTCAAGAACTTCTTAAGAATAAAAATTTTTTTAATTTCAATATCTTTATAAACAATGTCTGATTATCACTGAGCTATTTATAAGTGTCTCTGCAACTTCTCTGATTGCTTTTTATTAGCTGATGAAGCAGGAATACTGCTGCTCATGACTGCATCTTCACTTCTCTCAGCTCTGTTATCATATCTGATCTTCAGGTCAGCAGCTCATCTCATTTCTTCTTCAGATCAGCTTCTGACTTTAAGCAGTGTAGTCTCTCTCTTTGCTGTAAGTCTTCTCATAAGTAATTTCTTACAGACTCTAGCTAACAGTTCTTATAAAGCTTCTGATGTTGTCAGTGTCTTCTGCAGTCTCACAGACCTACAATCACTCTCTCTCTGCTCACACAATCTCTGATCAGATATATGCAAATATGTCTAGATTCTCTATCAATAGTCCTTACACTGCAGTGCATTTCTGCAATTCTATTATCAATGAGAGATGAGTTCTCAAGTACCTGTAAAATCTGAGTAATCAAGACAATATAAATGCTATGAATTTATAACAGAAGTTGATCTGAACAGATAAGTCTTCTCTCTACATTCTCATTATTTTCAGACTGAATACTTCAGCATAACTGAGAGAGTGAATACAGCTTTGTAAGAGATATCTGATCACATGCATAGATAATCAGTCTTCAAGACTCTGCTACAACTATACACACTCTAGTATTCAGCTTCTTTGAAGTCTGTGCATTTCTGATAATCTTCACATCAAATACAATAATTATCTGTATCACAGACATGATACTCTCTGCTTCTTTAAAGAGAGAAATTAATAGTTATGAGAGAGTTGAGTGTCACAGATATTGATAATATAAGTGTGAATTTTCTTTATTTTTTCTTTATTAATCTCTAAATTGCATTCACAGCTCTGTTTATTTTCTTATTTTTTAACTTTAATAAGAACATGTTTTCTTCTTTTCTTATGTACACTGCAGACTGTTCATCTCAGTAGAAACTCATCATCTTATAGACTAAGATTTACAAATAACAGTGTTAATATCTTTATCACAATCAGATTCTTAGTGAAGATCACATTATTCTGACTTATCAGAATTTATAGTATGAAAGTCATGTCTCAGCTTCTGCAGATATCTTATCTGTCTGAATAATTCTTAAGTGAACTTATTCATCTTATCAGAATACTCTTATCACTGAATCTTAAATCAGAGCTCACAATCTTACTTCTCTGAGTTAATAATTTCTTTAATCTGATATTCTCTTTTACTCTCTAGTGCTTTGTGAACAGAGTAATAAGTCACAGAATTCTCTTCTAAGAATTTCTTATATTTACAGAGTAAAGAGACATGAAAAATATTGTATATCTATAACTCAGATAACAGTTTCAATCTGTAGAACTGCAAGCTAACTTTCTTCATAATCTTATAAGACTCTGTTCACAAGAGATTCAGCTTCTTACTAGATCTTCATATAGTGATATTTTCTAGACTCAGTCAGACTCTATCATCTTTCTTAAAACTCTTTATAATATACTTGAAGTCATAGTATCTCTTCTGATACTCTTAAGTCTTTCTCAAGAATTCACAGGCTTTCTCTCAGATCTTCTGAATTCTCTCAGCTCATTCACAGGCATCATCACACTCTATAGTGTACTCTCGCAGGTTCATTAAGATTATTCACAGATGAGTCTCAGTGAGTATCTCAAAGAGGGTTTTATCTATGCTAACATGCTTTGAGTTGTTATATACAAACTCTGTGAGTAATAATCAATGTACTCAGTTATTCTGATTGTAATTAACAAAGCACTGCAGATACTGTTTCAATATACTCATCAGACATTCTATCTGATCATCTGTCTGTTAATGAAAAGCCATGCTTAGATCTCATAAGATCTTCAGTATAGTCATTAGATCAGATCAGAACTCTTCTATGAAAATTAATTCTCTATCTGAAACAATGTTCACAGATAATTCATGCAACTGAATCACATCACAGATGAAGATATGAGTCAAATTCTTTGACTTCAAGTTCTTGCAGATGAGTATAAAGTGTGTTATCTTGATAAAGTGATTCACTATCACCAGCACACTGTCAAAGCAGGCATTATATATGTTCTTGCTTTCAGAGAGGCTTACAAGAGCATTCATTTCTAACTGTTTTCAAGGTTTTCACAGAATGAATAGAGAAGTAAGTTCTTTATATAGTCTGAACCACACTATCTGTGAACTCTGATAAATAGTATAAGAATTTACTATCTTCTTCACAAGTTCTTGCATCTTCAGTCAGAAGTATTTTCTTATGAGTAACTCATAAGTTCTAGTATCTGTAAAATAACCTGCTAGAGAAGAGTCATGATATCTTTTAATGAGTTCTACATGTAGAAACTCATTCATGAGTATATAAATCCAGCTCTCTCTTTGCAAGAGGTCATTTAAGTCTCTTCAATTCTTTATTTCTGCAGAGTTGATCCCTGCTGCAAGCAGTTTCTGAATATACTGAGTATATTCATTCTTCAGTTGTAGTTCAGATAATCTGAATAGAAGATCTTGTAAAGACTTATACTCTGTTTTCTCTTACATCAGGTCTTCTGCAGTGCTTCTCAAAGTCTACAAATTCTTCAGATTATAGATACTCTCTTCAAGAATCCTTGCAGAGATTCTCAGAGTATTGACTCTCAGTGTCACAGAGAGTAGTTATACAGACTTCTTTTCT